TCTGTGGCCGAGAGGGATGCACACAGATGCAGGGGCAGAACGCTCTGTGTTTGTCACCCGATCGTGAAAGTGATTGGCTAGCTCCTCTTCCTTGTTGGAGGCGGCCCGCTGCGGTCCTTTCTGTCTGGGGCGGTGCAGGGCAGGGGGGCCCACTCAGCACAGGTGTCTGCAGCCCGCGGCGTGCGGGGCTCCTGGCTTTTCCGGCGCGGCAGAGTCTGCCTGCAGCCGGCGCCCTCCCTCCTCCCCGCCTGTTTGCCGGCAGACGCTCGGAGCTCCATCTACAATTGCGATCGTCCGTATCTCGCACTTCATAAATGTCCCTTTAAGATGCTACCTGATACCTTCCCCGGTCTCGGAGGCAACAGTGTGGATCCTCCTGTTTCCCAAGCAGCTAAATGCATTACAATAAATTTGCTTTCTCTGTGCTGTGGAATTGGAAACCTATAAGATGGTGAATAAGAAAACTGATACCACTGCTTATCTGTCCAAAAGCTAGTGGTGTTAGGAAGCCCAGTAATTGAAAAATGGATAGCATTGATATTTGAACCTTTTTATATAACCTTTGAAGTGTAAGCCTTTTGGGGAATAAATTGCTTTTTGTAACAAGAACAATGTCAGATCCCATATTTAGAAGCCATGCACTTAATTCATTTTCAGACGGAGAAACTCGTGTTGTCTTGTTGAGAAAAACATTGCAAAATGGATTAAGCCTCACCCGGGAGAGATGATAACCTAATACACATATCTGCGGGCTGGGCTTTATTAGTTACACAGCAAATATTGCCCAGCAGGGCAGGCGACCTTCTCTGGGGATTGATCTGGCTGCGCCAGCAGCGGCACCGTCGTCAGATTCACTGCGGGGCACGAGGGGTCTCCGCGTCTCCTGTCGGAGGGGCGTGTGGCTGCCACGCGTGGGCTTGAGGCTGCACATCTCTCGGAAGGGCCGGGCCGAGCAGGACACCCCAGCGCGTGGGCGGCCTGCTGGGTGTCTATGGAGCTGACCCCACCTCTAGGAGGCGTCTTCAGTGTGGGAAGGTGGTTCTGGGGTTCCCGGTGTCGCCAGATCCTGTGGTGTTGTAACACAGGCCTGTGGGTGGGGGGGTCCATGAGCTGGGACGACGGGGCCACCAAAGACATCAGTGTGAGCAAAGGGTGCCCGACTGCTCTATCCAGGGGCCCCTCCGTGGGGAAGAGCGGCTCTGTGGCTCCACCTCCCTCTCTCTCTCAACTTCTCTTTCCTGTGCGGCTCCCCCACAAGGCTCTGGGGTGGCGGTGCTCAGAGCCCGACAGAGGGGTGCATCGTTGCTTTCACTGGTGCCCACCATGCTTCTTTTTTAAGTTAAAAACATCAATTTCTTAGTTTTTATTTCTTTGAAAGCAGAGAGAGACCAAGAGAGGTCCTCTCTCTGCTGGTTAACTGCCGGAATGCCTCCAGCACGCGGGGGCCGGGAACTCAGGTGGGAGCCACCACCGCTCCTGATGGGTGCCCAGGGGCAGGAGGCTGGGAGCAGGAAGGAGGCTGGGACTGCAACCCCGGCACTCGGCACGGGGATGCAGCACCCGCCGGCGTCCGTGATTCCTAAGGCTGCTGGGGGTGCACCCTTCACGGCGAGTGCATTTCCTGTTGTGCGAGCCGTGGCGCCTGGGGGAGTCCATGGAGTTTCTCTAAGGACACGACCTGTGAGAGAGGACGCTGTGTCACCGTCCCAGCCTGCCCCACGATGGAGACGCAGTGAGCGCTCAGGACGGGTTCACCGGGGGTGTGGGCGCGTGGCCTGGGGAAGAAGCCGAGCGGCTCCACGGCTTCCCGCGGTCCTGCCGGAGCCAGCTGTGGCGCTGACGGAGGCCCGGGCGCCTGGCTGGCTGTGTGGAGGAGGGGCTGCGGCGTCATGTTTGAGCGAGTGGCAGGCGTGTGACCTGGCATTTGTAGATGAAACAGGCAGTAAAGTCACCTCCTCCTCTGTCGCCAGACGAAAACGTGAGTCTTGTGCAGAGAGCAACTTTCGGGAAGGAATCTAAAAATGCAACCTGAGACATCCTCAGAAAACTGCAAGGTCTCCCAGCACGAGCCGCTCTGGGAACCCGCGGGTGAGGGAACACCACGGCTTCGTCTGCGGGATCCTGTCCATCCTGGAGCTGCCTGGGGCCGCCTGGGGCCTGTCCCATGGAGTGGCCTCCCCAGGCTGTGTCGGCTGCTGCCCTCCAGGTCTGAGAGCTGGTCAGCCGCTTTGCAGGACGGCCAAAGGAACTTCTCTCCAGGAGCCTGGGGCTGTGGCCACCTGGGGGGAGCCCGTGGAGGTGAAGCCGCTGTCCCATCAGAGTCCCCACAGTGTCACCGTGGACGCCGGCCTGTGTGCCAGGCTGGGGGTGTTGGTCAGGCGTCTGTTCTCGCATCCCCACGGCCGCTCCGGCGGGCAGCTGGTCTTGCCTGCGAGGACCTGTGCGCCACACATTTCTGGAACTCCGTTCTCCGTTCATTTCCCTGCCGAACCACCTGGCTGTGGCAGTTTGATCCGTGGACCATGATCGTGTGTTTTGGGTTTCGTTGACCCTTCTTTGTCTTGCTGCTCAGATCATCCCTGCTCTTGCGTTGGGTCCCCGCACCCCCCTGGTGCCCCCTGTGGTGCGTGTGCCTCCGTGTCGGCACCACAGGACGCTCCAGGGACATCTGGAGGCTTCCCGCTCTAGCCCTGCCCCAGCCAGGAGTCCAGGCCCTTGGACTGGGCAGCTCTGAGCCGCAGATCAAAGGAGCTTCAGTGGAGATGTCGCTCCCCCTCTTCGTGGAGGAACGACACAGGACCCTGCGCTGTTCTTTTGTCTGCTCGGCCCTCCCCGGGTTTGCTGCTGGTTCTTCCCGGGTTGGCTACCGACCCTTCCACCTCCGTGGAAGGGCGGTTCCCCCTGCCACTTTCCCCACTTCCGCGGGTGAGCGGCACACCGCCGGCCAGCTCTCTCGGGGGCTGCACAGGTGTTCCCCTTAGATGTTCCTGGTGCATGTTGTCTCTCTCCTCCTTTATAGTCTTCTTCCACCAATCCCAACTCTGCTACCCACACGCCGAGTACGCTGCTCTCCTCCAATCAGGAGCAGGTCCTACAGTTTATTGGTTGAACTGGAGGCAGCTGTGAAGAAGCTATTTCCCTTCTCAGCGCCATATTGTGGGAAAGCAGATGCATAGAATAAATCTTAATTCCAGTAACTTAGTCTAGTCCGAGTTGCTCCTCACAGATCCCCCTTTCTTTTTATTTTTTGGCGTTGATACGCGCCTGTCTTCGGTGCCCCGCAGCACACACTCTGCTCTGCTTGCTGGAGTTGCCCACAGGTGCTTACAAGCCCTATCAATCAGGCAAACCGAATCCAGGTCCTCTCTTCGCCGTCTTGTGAGGAGGTTTTTAGGCGCTGATGCGTGCCTGTGTTCGGTGCCCTGCAGCGCATGCTCTGCTCTGCTAGAACTGCCTGCAGGTGCTTACAAGCCCTACCAGTCAGGCAAACCGAATCCAAGCTCTCTCATTGCCGTCTTGTGGGGAGACTTATTGATGTTGATAACGTGCCTGTCTTCCGTGACCTGCAGCCGCC